ATCATTGTGGCTTGGAATTGTTAGGGAGTTGGTAACAAGGGAACTATCCGCCACGCCAAAGGCCTCTTAGCCAATAAGGATGTGAGGGCTATTTGTTTCCTTGAAACCAAAACCAATAAGGCCGACAAGCTTCTTAAAACCTTAGTATGTTGGGGTTCACAATTCCTTTATGGTTAACACCCTCGGTTTTGCAAGGGGCTTCTTTTAGTTTGGAACAGGGATATCCTGGATCTTGAAGTGGTTAAGAGCTACTCCCAAACAAAATTCATTGTAGAGTTTTGGGAGGTGGAAGCTCTCAAGTCCACATCTCTTTTGCATATGTTAGGCCCAACATGAGGGCTAAAGAAGTGTTCTAGTCAGAGTGTAAAGTGTTCGGTGCCTCTAGGATAGGGCCTCGGGTGATGCTTGGAGGCTTTAATGACATTGCAACCGCAGTTTGGATCATTGGGGAAGTGACCACGTGAACATGAACAATATGACTAGATTCTGTGAGGCCTACGAAGATTGTGGATTTATGGAAGTCCCTTCGTCAGGCCCTAACTTTACCTGGATCAGGCAAGTTGGGGGCCACAGAGCCACTATACGTAATCTTGATTGTGTTTTTTGGAATATCGAAGCCCATGAGTCATTCCCGGAAGCCAAAGCGAGAGTCTTGACTAGAACCCACTCCGACCACCACCCCATTTCTTTTATTCAGGTGGCAGGTGCAGCTCTAACCGCAATGATAAACCATTTCGTTTTGAGGGGGCATGGCTCACTCGAGAGGACTACAGAGAGGTCTGGAGAAAAGCTTGGTCAAATCATCCCGATAATGTGGTGGGAGCGATTAATGAGGTTACGAATATGAGCAAGAAATGGAACGAAGATGTTTTCGGCAATATTTTTAAAAGAAAGAGACTTCTCCAAGCAAGAATTCAAGGCATACAAGCATCCCCCTGGTATAACAGATCCAGAGGGCTTCAAGTCCTTGAAAAAAAAAAAGCTAATCTATGAGCTCAACCTAACTCTCCCGCAAGAAGATTTTCTCTGGTTCCAGAAGTCCAGAAAGACGTGGATTCAAGACGGTGACAAAAACACTAATTTCTATCACCGTTCCACTATTCTTCAGAGAAATAGAGGGCGAATCAGATCCCTTAAAATCAATGGTGAGTAATTCCGAGGCTAATATACTCAAAGGGCCACGTTACTCATTTTTTTCTCAAATTTATTTTGCAGTGTCAGCCGGGAAGAGGTGCAACCTCCAGATCCCTATACAGGGCTGAGAATTAGTCCAGACGAAGCCAATAGCCTTACCAGACCGGCTAATATGGATGAGGTCAGGAAAGCAGTCTTCGGGATGAAAAGACTGGGTAGCCCAAGACCAGACGGGATTCAGGCTACCTTATACCAAGATTATTAGGAGGATGTAGGTATGAGTCTCACTATGTTTGTTAACGAGGCTTTGATCTCAGGCAAGGTACCGCAAAGCTTCCTTGAATCTTTCATTACCCTCATCCCGAAAAAACCCAACCTGGAAAGTGCCGCTGACTTTCAGCCTATCACGTTACTTAACGTCATCTTTAAAATTGTTTCAAAAGTGCTGGTTAAAGGTTGAGACCTTTAATGATCAAGCTTGCTAGTCCTCACCAGAATAGATTTCTCTCTGGGAGGTGCTTACTCTGGAGGTTATTCATACTATCAATCACAGAAAAGGTAAGAAAGGCTCGTTGGTTATGAAGATTGACCTGCATAAGGCCTACGACAATATTGATTGGGGCTTTCTAAATACCATGGTCACTGATTTTGGGCTCATTGATTGGGGCTTCCTGAATACCGTGGTCACTGATTTTGGGCTCCCCGGACGGCTGATTAATCTGATTTTATTTTCTCTCAAAGAAAGTACAATCAATATCCTTTGGAATGGGGAAAAACTGCGACCTTTCGAATTAGGCAGAGGGCTGAGGCAAGATGACCCCCTGCCCCCTATCTCTTTATACTTGCTATGGAAAAATTGTCCTATCTTATACAGGATCAAGTTCGGGTAAAAAGGTGGAAGGCAGTCTATATTTCACGAGGAGGGATTGGAGTCTCACATCTCTTCTTCGCTGAAGATTTGATACTCTTTGGGGAAGTTTTTGAAAATTAAATTGTTACCACCATGTACTATCTCAATAGATTCTCTCACTGGTAAGGCTTAAATATCAATTTTTCTAAATCTCTTATCTATTGCTCTCTTAACATCCCTAATAGGCTGAAGTGAAGGATGGGGGACATGTCCAATATTCCGGTCACTGAAAATTTGGGCAAATATTTGGGGATCCCAATTCTCCAAAAAAAGATTAATAAAAGCCACTTTAGTTACATCCTCGACAATATGAAAAGGAAGTTGAATAAGTGGAAAGCTGATTCCTTAAGCTTAGTAGGCCGGCGAGTTCTTGTTCAATCTGCACTAGCAATAGTCCCGGTCTACACCATGCAATCTATGGCGCTCCCGGTAAGTATTTGTAATGATATTAACAAAATTTGCAGGAATTTTCTCTGGGGCTCTAATGAGACAAAAAGAAAAATTCACCTAGTCAATTGGAGGGAAGTCTGCAGCCCTAAAGATCAAGGTGGAATGGGTTCCCGAATGGCCAGGGACTTTAACCACGCCCTTCTGGCTAAACTTGCGTGGCAAGTCCTTAATAATCCAGATAAATTGTGGGTGAATTCCATGAAGCAAAAATATATTCGTGAGGACAATTTCTTCGCTTCCAGCCCCCCTTCGATTTCTTCATGGGGCTGGAAGAGCATCATCAAAGGGAGATCGATCATTGAAACCGGGGGCTGATGGCGAGTGGGTAACAGTAATTCTCTGGATTTCTGGTCCGATTGGTGGGTCAGTGACAAGCCTCTTAGTCTTGAACCGAATATTGATATCTTTGAGGAGCTCTGGAATATAAAAGTTAGTGACTTCATTATGGAAGATAGAGCTTGGAATGTGGATTTTCTGTTAGAAGTTCTGCCACTCGAGCTAGTTAACAAAATTAGAGCCACTCCAATCCCAATAAAAGAATCAACGCCAGATAGACTGGTATGGCCTGATAGCGCAACAGGTACGTTCTCGGTCCTCTCTACTTATAACGCTATTGTAGGTTCCTCGAATGATGAAGAAAGCTGGGACTAGATTTGGAAGCTCAAATGTATAAAGAATGTGAAGACGTTTCTTTGGCTGCTGTTGAAAGGGAAGCTCCTCACTGGTGTAGAGAGGAGATACAGAAACATCACTACTGATGCCTCTTGCAAGCGATGCCCGGATGAAGAAGAATCAGTAGATCACATCTTCAGGAAGTGCCCGTTCGCCGCAGATTGCTGGTATTTGGTGAGAAACCACGGAGGGACAGACTCAGCGATCTTCAAACCTATTAACTCTTGGATAAATTAAAAAATAATTGCGCTAGCAAAAAAACGATTGAGGATGGCGTGCTTTGGAACATAACCTTTGTCTACATTCTCTGGCTGATTTGGAAAACAAGAAATGGATTGATTTTCAACAACAAAAGTGATACTCACGTGCAAATAATTGAGATGTCGCTTTCTATAGCAAAGGAGGCCATGTCTCTCATTGTGAATCATGGAGGTGTCATCCAAGGCTGCTGGAAGTGGATCAGATGGAAACCTCCTCAACCCAGATTGATGAAGCTTAATACGAACGGTGCCTTAAAAACTAATACGGGCATGGCTAGCGCTGGGGGTCTCATCAGGGACGAGCACGGGCGTTGAGTCATGGGCTTCGCAACCAAAGTTGGTTCGACCGGCAGCTTCTCGGCGGAGTTTTGGGGCCTAAGGGAGGGTCTACGGCTCTATTTGAGAAAAAGGATTCAACAAGATTTGGGTCAAAATGGATTCAACGGCTGTGGTTGCAATGATGAATAGGGAGGCTAGCATGGAAGAGACAGTTGTTACATTAGTAAAGGATTGTCTTGATCTCATCAGTAAATTCAACATGACAAAAATTACCCACATAATGAGTGAGGAGAATCAGTGTGCAGATTGGCTTGCCAACTTTGGGCAAAGTATTGACTGGAGAACCACCATTCTGGACTCGCCCCCGACTGAGCTTAATTTCGTGCTAGGAGCAGATGTGGTTAGTAAGCCGGTTCCAAGGATTCGCTAACACCTTCTCTTGAAGGTTCCAATTGTACCAAAAAAATAAATAAATATGGGAGGTCATAAGATCAAGCCTCAGTGAAGGAACCGTCAGTAGAGGTTTAAAAAAACAATTTAAATGTCCTAATCGAATACCAATCTATTTTTAAAAATATGAATTGAATATCCACCTATTTTGAAATTAAAGCCTATAAAAATTTTAATTGAAAGATTCAATCTACATCGAATTGTGAAGATTTACAGCACCAACCAAACCAAACTTCATTGTACCACCAAAAAAGAAAAATAAATAAATTAGATATTTTAAATTCTTTAAATTAAAAATATGAATTGATTCCTTTCAAAAAAAAATATGAATTGAATATCCACCTATTTTGAAATTAAAGATAAAGATTCAATCAACATCCAATTGTGAAGATCAGATATACTGCACCAACCAAACCAAAGTTCATTGTACCACCAAAAAAGAAAAATAAAATAATTAGATATTTTTACTAGCTAGAACACGGTTGCGTTTTGTTGACCACTAGTAAATGATGAACAGGTCAAGGCAAATTATTGTACGGATCATAGTCTATACAGTGCTGTGTGAATCATAAAAAAAAAGTATATTTTTAATATATTAAAAGTACATTATTCGAGTATGGAAGGTACATTTTACAAAGTAATATACTTTCAGTACTCAAATAATATATTTTCTCTGAATACAATGCACTTTTTTAATATATTAAAAATATATTTTTTGTATACTGAACGTAAATTATTTAATAGTATCGTCCATGCAGCTGTGTGGACCATAATAATTGACAAGTCAAGGCTTGGGTTGCATTTGCATCTATTTATGAACAAGCTAAGGCTGAGCTTAGTTTCAATTATCTATACTGTGAAGACCACATATTTTGTTCAGAAATAATGGCATTAGTTCCAAGTGCCAAAGGAGATGAATACAGATCATACTTGAGTGAAGAGGAAGTGAAGGACATCAACTGGAGATACGGAGCACCTCCTAATTACGACGTCGTAAACAAGCTCTTTGAGGAAGGCAGAACCAAGGTATGTTCATGCATAGTACAACCCCAAACAATATATTCAACAGAATTAATATTCAATTTAGTCTTCGATTATAATAATATTATCGATTTAGTCCTAAACAACTTTTTGTACTTAATTGGATACTCGACGATTTCGATAGTTTTACTTAATTAGGTCCTTTGTAACTAATTTGGTCATTTTCTCTCTATTAATACCCAATTTAATCTTTGACTATAGTGGTTTAATCCAAATTAGTCCTTAATTATAACGATTTAATGCACAATTTAGTTATCACTATAGTTACTTAATTTAATCGGTTTAATCCTTGATTTGGTAGTAGAGGACTCAATTAGGTAAAATTATCAAAATTGAGCACCCAATTAAGCATATAAAGAAAGATATTTAGGACTAAATAAAAAAGAAACTATTATAGTCCATGACTAAATTAGGTATTAACTCATATTGAAGATGAACAAACAAATTGATTAATATGATTATACTTGAAATTTTTGGAACAGATATGGCCTGCAGGTTCACTGGGAGAAAAGGTGCAAAACCTTGTGAAGACATGGGAGATGGAGATGTTTCACAAAATCTCCCCAGAAGACTACAAGACAATTGATCCCAAAAAGTATCTATTCAGTCTTAATGGTTAGAACCAATCTCTTCACTCTAGTCTCATCTCATCTGTCAAAAATATCACAAATAGATGGAGTGGAAAATTTGTTAGTGATGTTGGTGGAGGCCAGTGAATTCCAAATTTACCGCTTGGTAGTTGGGGGATTGTTGGGTGGAAATCAGTAAATGCCAAGTCTAGAACTTGGTAATTGAGGATTGTTGGGCGGAGACCAATAAAGATCAAGTCTAGTACTTGGTGGTTGGTGGATTGTTAGGCGGAGGCTGGTAAAAGCCAAGTCTAGCACCCGGTGACTGAGGAATGTTAGGCGGAAGCCAATAAAGACCAAGTCTAGTACTTGGTGATTGGAGGATCGTTAGGCGGAGACCAGTAAAAGCCAAGTCTAGCACTCGGTGACTGGAGGAATGTTAGGCGAAAGCCAATAAAGACCAAGTCTAGTACTTGGTGGTTGGAGGATCGTTAGGCGGAGGCCGGAAAAAGCCAAGTCTAGCACCCGATGACTGGAGGATTTCTAGGCGGAAGCTAATAAAGGTCAAGTTTAGGACCCGGTGGCTGGGAATCGAACTAAAGCCGAGTCTAGTCGGAGGCCGGTAAATGTCAAATCTAACATCCTGTGGCTAGGAGATTGTTGGATGGAAGTCGATAAAGGGCGCTTGATCCTAATATTTGATATGTGTTGAATTATATTAATTCCAGGTAGAAGATTACTTACCTTGGAGGAAAAACAAAAACTGGGTGGAGGATACAACTCACTGCTACAAACATCACTGCCGGAGAAGTTCAGGTGCTTTAACCCAGCAGAAGAAACTGTGGATTCGGCCCACAGGGCATTCACCACAGCATTTCCTAGAGGGTTTGCCTTGGAGGTTCTCCAGGTTTACTCGGGGCCACCCTCCATTGTATACAAGTTCAGGCACTGGGGATTCATGGAGGGTCCTTTCAAAGGACATGCTCCTACAGGGGAAATGGTTGAATTCTATGGAATGTCCATTTTTGAGGTAGGTGCATCTATATATGATCCATCATATCTTTAAATTTAGGCTCATGTATGTATATTTTCCTCTACCAAAAAAAAAATGTATGTATATTTTCATCCATTATCTCCAGATGTTGATTAGATAAGATTTTTTGGATAAGAAAGCTGCTTTCAACTTACAGGTAGTTAAGTTGAATGGTAAATGGGTGAGTTAATATCCAATTTAGTCTTCGACTATGACAAATTTTGCTTTGGAACTGTGTTCACCTTGTAAGGTTGACACGGTTCTAAAATTGTTCATAATTATGAATATATAGTTCAAAAATTATGAACATATAATTTTATAATTATGAACATAGAGTTGTGAATATAATTATGAACATATAATTTTTTGAGCATATAACCATTAATGTGAAACCCAACTATTAGCTTAGACTTTTAGTTGAGATGGAGCACATGCTTCAATTTAGTTCTGTAATTATGAATATAGAGATTAAATAATTGTGAATATGAAGTTCAAAAATTATTAATATATAGTTTTATAATTATAAACATATAGTTCAGTAATTATGAATATATAGCTTTATAATTATGAACATATATTACAAGGTGGACACAGTTCCACAGCATAACGATTATCCGACTATAGTGATTTTTCTCGATTCAGTCCTAAATGTCTTTTTGTGATTAACTGGGTACTGAATATTGATGGGTTTACGTAATTGAATCCTCTATTGGGATAGCTTGGTAATTTCCCCTCTATTAGTATCAATTTAGTACTCAGCTCGACTGTTGGGTGTCGGCCGGGTTGGGCGAGTTCAACCCTTGCTCGATCCGAGAGGTGGCGCAGTGATTATGTGGTGAAATGATTAATGTTCAGGGATGTGGTTAAATGATTAATGTTTACCCACTTATCACCAATTGGTTTAAGTAGGATATTATCTGACGACAACCAGATAGATAAACAACTAAACATAGTGCAACACTCAAATCCATCATCGACTATAATGATTTTATCTAATTTAGTCATCTAACTAAGTAGTAACTATTAGTGGTTTTAACCAATTTTAGTTCTTGACTATAGTGATTTTTCTAAATTTAATTTAGCCATTGATTATGACTGCCGATACTCAATTATGTAAAACCATCAAAGTTTAAGACCTAATTAAGTCCAAAAACTTTTTTACGACTAAATTGAGAAAATCAAGATTAAATTAGGTATTAACTGCTAAGCACTTTGTGCTCAGATGACATGTAGTGACTTCTCTTATGTGGGAGGTTATGAGATCGAGCCTTAATGGAGGCAAATATACAATTGATATGAATTTTGAAGATGATCAAGTTCTTGAGCTAGCTGCTCATTGATTCATCATTTATAACCTGTACAAGTTAATCCAATCCACCCAATTGTGGCTTTGATCTATTTCTTATACATATATATGGTGATAATGATGCAGATTGATGAAAACTCCAAGGTTGTGAAGGTTGAATTCTTCTATGACAGGGGAGAACTGCTGGGAAGTCTTGTCAAAGGAGCTAGCAATGATGGTTCCACCATTGAAGCAGCTTCAAGTAGTTGTCCTTTCTTGGTTAAAACTGGGTAGGGATAGCCTTGTGATCCAACATGCAGAAATAGAATTATTGAAGCAAATTAAAATAAATCATTTTCTGCTGGAGTTTATATGTTAGTATATTATTGGTGATTATTGTTTCAAATATACTACCCTGGAAGCTTGAATAATATTTGAAGTGTTTTAGTGTTATAAATATTGTTACACATAAATTTGGCAAAATTGTTTGGCAAAAAATCCAAAGTCAAAATAAGACTTACAATCACAGAGGAATAAGGATTAATGCCACTACAAATCCAACTAAGAAAAGGAATAATATCAAAATATCTTTAAAAGAAAAGCAAAGACAAATAGTTGAATTATTACTGTTCAAATTCACTAGAGAGTAGTACTTAGGTACATAGGGTTACAAAATAGTGCATGTAATATGAAAATCCGTTTGGTATCAGAGCCAGTTAACCTTTCAACCCCGAGGTATTTTTCATAGTGAATTATGGCCACAAATTTCAATATTGTATGGTCGGGTCCCAAATTGGACGGGAACCTCGATTACAATTATTGGCAAATTATGATGTCCACACATTTGCAAGCTCAAAATCTTTGGAGCTTTGTTGATCCCGGTGTACCCGAAGGAGCTGAAGCAGGCGCTATACGGCGAGATAAATTGGCCTTGGGTCAGATTCACCAAGGTGTTCATTATTCCATTTTTGGGCAATTAGCTCGTGCTCAAACAGCAAAACAAGCTTGGGACATCTTAAAGGTGTCACACAAAGGAGTCGATCGGGCACAGAAGTCTAAGTTGCAGTCGTTGAGAAGGTTGTATGATAATTGTGAGATGACCTCTACAGAAACAGTAGATGCGTATTTCACTCGTCTTATTGATATGGTGAATAAGATGAGCCTATATGGAGATACGATTGAAGATGGTGCAGTGGTTGAAAAAGTTCTTCGAACTATGCCGATGAAGTATGACCATGTGGTGGCTTCAATAACAGAGTCACACAAAACCGAGCTCTTATCAATTGCAGAGCTGAAAGGTATGGTAGAAAGTCATATTGACAGGATTGCGTCAAAATCGGAACCACTAGCAGAAGAAGCTTTGAAGAGTCAAGTCACCCTTAATGTGACTGGCACTAATCAAAGAGGTGGAGGATCTGGTAGAGGTCGTGGAAGAGGAAGAGGAAGTTCTGGTGGAAGAGGTCGTGGTAACTTCAACCAAGGAGGAGGACGTGGTAACTCCAACCAAGGAAGAGGTGGAGGTAATACCAAACAAGGTAAATTTCCATTTCATTGCTACAATTGTGGCAAGTATGGGCACAAGATTGCAGATTGTTGGTATAATGAGCACAACAATCGTGGAAATCAAGCAAACATTGCTGAAAATACTGCTGAAAAGTCTGGTGAGAATTCTGAAACCTTACTTTTGGCCAGTGATAGTTTTTCTGCAGATAAAAACATATGGTTCTTGGATACTGGGTGTAGTAACCATATGTGTGGTAAGAAAGAATTGTTTTCTGAACTGGATGAATCAATCCGGTCTGAAGTGACATTTGGCAATAAGTCAAAGGTGCCAATTTTGGGAAAAGGTAAAATCTCTATTCAGCTAAAGGATGGTACTCAAAATTTTATATCCGATGTGTTCTATGTTCCTGAACTAGACCAAAATTTGTTGAGTATGGGTCAGCTGTCAGAAAAAGGATATAAGATACATATTGCTCAGGGGTGTTGTACGATTGAAGATGCTAAAGGAGTTTTGATTGCAAAGGTAAATATGTCCCAAAATCGACTATTTCCTTTGAAAATTAAGCATACTCTCCTTGATTGCTTTAGTTCTGAAGTTTGTGATGATAATTGGTTATGGCATATGCGGTTTGGGCATTTTCATTTCTCTGGATTAAACTATCTTGTGAGAAAGGAACTTGTTTCTGATTTACCTGTTGTGAATGTCCCTGATCGTATCTGTGAGATTTGTGTGATTGGGAAGAAGCATAGAGATCCCTTTCCCGTGGGCAAGTCAAGGAGAGCTACAAAACAGTTGGAGATTATTCACTCAGACCTATGTTCGTTGGAGGTTCCCTCACATGGAGGTTGTAAGTACTTTATTACTTTCATTGATGATTTCAGTAGAAAAACATGGGTTTACTTTCTGAAGCAAAAGTCTGAAGCATGTGATGTTTTCAAACAATTTAAGGCTTTTGTTGAAAAGCAGAGTGGTTATGAAATTAAAATCTTGAGAACTGATAGAGGTACAGAATATATTGCCTGTGATGATTTTCTGAAGAAGAAGGGTATTCAACATCAGATGATAGCTAGATACACTCCACAACAAAATGGAGCGGCTGAGAGGAAGAATAGGTCCTATCATGGATATGGTAAGGTGCATGTTGAAATCCAAGGATCTGCCTAAACCTCTTTGGGCAGAAGCTGTTGCTTGTGCTGTCTATGTGTTGAATAGGTGTCCAACTAAGAGTGTCCGGGATAAGACACCCGAAGAAGCTTGGAGTGGGAGAAAACCCTCTATCAAATATCTCAAGGTTTTTGGATGTTTGGCATATGCACATGTGCCAGATCCATTGAGAAAGAAGTTGGATGATAAAGGTGAGAAATGCATATTCATTGGTTATAGTGACGCTTCAAAGGCTTATAAACTATACAATCCTAAAACTAAAAAGGTTGTTATAAGTCGTGATGTCACTTTTGATGAATATGGTGCTTGGGATTGGTTAGCTAAAGATGAAAGTTCAGTTGTTATTCCTGCTGTTGAAAATATTATTGAAGAGCAACCGATTTCAGATAATGTCCAGTCTCCTTCACAGCCAGAATCGTCAGTTCGACGATCTCAGCGCGAGCGCCACTTACCAGCTCGCTTGCAAGATTATGTTTTGGGTCAAGATAATGACCTGTCTGATGAAGAGATTATTCAATTTGCTCTCTTTGCAGATTGTGATCCTTTAACTTTTGAGGAGGCTGCTACAGAAACTCATTGGCTTAAGGCGATGGATGAGGAGATACGTGCCATTGAAAAGAATGGTACCTGGGAGTTAACAGATTTACCTCCTGGGAAGAAGCCAATTGGAGTAAAGTGGGTTTACAGAACGAAATACAAGTCAGTATGTCCAACTTGAAGACGAAGACATTTTTTAAATTGAAGAAGGAAATTGGGATGACCAATATATCCAACTTGGTTTAAAGGAGGCAATGTTATAATAATAATAATAATAATAATAATATTATTATTAGTAATATTAAACCAAGTAGTTAGTTAATTGGTTAAAAATAATGGGAGTAATTATAGGTGCAGTACATGGCTATGATGTTAGCTTTACATGGAGCATTAACTCCTTTATTTTAGCATTTGAATTATCTTATCTAGTATAAATAGATTTGTTATTCAAGCATTTCTAATCATCAATAAAATTATCTATTCCTCTCTCTCTCTCTTCTCAATATATATAAATATAATATATAGATATATTATATTTAATATATATTATAGATATATTATATTATATTTAATATATATTATATTAAATATATTATATTTAATATATCTAACATAACTTGTATTTTAAAATTACTTATAGTGAAATTGGCTTTTTTTCCTTAAGGGTAGATTGCCCCGCAGAATAGGAAAATTTTGAACTGCGTTACAAATTTTGAACAGGAAGGGTGTTTCAACACCACAAACAACACCATACTGCCCATACACCATAAAACTCATATGCTAATACTGCAAAAAACTTGGTCACATTCAAACTTATTGTTACCAAAGGAGGAATCGCCTATTCTTCAACAAGAATCCCAATATCAAGCATATATAATGGGTACAAAAAGAAAAAAAAAATACAACAAGTAACTAACATACACCTCCAAAACTAAAGATCTTGTACTGTTGATGTTTAGTATTTTGACATTGGTTGTTCCCATCACAAGACTAGAAACCTCTACAATCTTGAGAATATATGATACCTTGATGGAGTACATGCCACTCTTAGAGACAAAGCCAAAGGAAAGATTATCGCAACTGATACGTACTCTAAAGACTAAAGGTACGTGGCTTACCAAAGCTTACAATGCAAAAGTATTAATTTCCTCGTTGACGGACTAAACTCTCATTAGTATTAGCCAACTAAGTGATGACAATCTAAAAATAAGGTTTTCAAAAGATAACTACAAGGTATACAATCATAGCCAACATTGTGTGTTAATTGTGATGGTGATAAAACTCCTAGAGATACAAACAACATATTCATAGGCATCTCTAGATATGTAAATGTACAAAAATACTTTTATACCATGGGCCCGACCCACTCCGCTCCGTTTTGAAGAACAAGCACGTGGCAGCAGCTAGTGTTGACTGCTCAAAGAAAGAAGTTGAATCCGTTAAGAGGAGTTAAGGGTCTTTCTTGTAATTTTGCACCTTGGATATTAGTCTGTATAAAGCTTCTTCTTCATTGTAATATAAGAACTCTCTGGAAGGCTGAATAATACAAAAATATTTCATTCCATCTCATTCTGTTTTCACCATCGTTATGCTATAATTTAGTCTGGAACATGGTATCAGAGCGACGATGGACCAACTACGCCGCTGCCGTTTCGGCGACCAGAGAAACAAGCGCAGCATGGCAACAGTCTTCACCGGCGGATTGATCTCCGCTGCGAACACCTCCAACATCAATTCCGCAGAGGAATACAACAAATCCAGCAATTTCTCGAAGAAATTTCAGTTCAGAAGACCTAGACGATCCATTGTTCCTCCATGTCAATGAGAATCCAAGTGCGATTCTCATTAATCCTCCACTATCAACCACAAACTACAACACTTGGAGCATTACAATGCAGATGGCACTGGAAGTTAAAAATAAATTGGCATTGGTTGATGGAAGCATACCAATTCCAAGTCAGGAGCAACCGCACTATACTGCTTAGAGGCGCTGCAATTTGATAGTAAGTTCCTGGATTCTTAAGTCCCTTAGTCCATCCATTGCACAAAGTGTGATGCATTTTAAGCATTCTAAAGACATTTGGGATGACCTGAAACGTAGATTATCTCAGGGAGATCCACATCGGATCTCTCAGTTGCAAGATGAGATATACAAATTGAAACATGGAAATATGAGTGTCACAGATTACTACACCAAATGTAGAACACTATGGGAGGAAATGAGTGATATGAGACCACTTCCAGTGTGCAAGTGTAATCCTAGAAGTTCTTGTGACTTAGTTGATGAAATAAGAAAAGAGCTTGAGGAAGATCAAATCATCCGCTTCCTGATGGGTTTGAATTAAGAATTTAGTACACTTAAGTCAGGTGTCCTAGTTATTGATCCACTGCCTGAGGTGCATATAAAGTGTTTTCTATGACATTGAAAGTGGAAAGGCAATTGAACTTAGCCAATCTAGGGTTGAATAACCTTGAAATCAGTGGTGCTAATTCCATACAAGCATCTTCAATTACAACTGCTAATGAAGACATAGTGGCTGCCATCAACAACATTGTTAGAAAAAGGAGTTTCAACTCTAATAATGGGAATGTGAAGACTACCAAATGTACTCATTGTGGCATGAGTGGCCATACTGTAGATAAATGTTATAAGAAACATGGATATCTTCCGGGGTGTATTCCAGGTTATAATTCCAAAGGGAAACAACACCAGTAGGGACAATCAGCAGCTGCAGTCACCGTTAACTCAACTCCTACAGATGCTAATATATCAGCTGAGCAAATTCAGAAGTTAATTTCACTACTATAGACTCAAGGTGGTCGATCAATGTTCTTCTACTGCAGCTACTGTATCCATCTCTCCCAATGCAGGACTCACTCCAAAGTTCAATCCTAACAAGAGAACTTTGCAGAAGGCAAGTATATGAATTCTATCTTATATTCCTCGACTTCTTGGATTCTTGATTCTGGAGCTACAGACCATATCATTTGTTCTCCTGAATTCTTCGATGCTTATCATTCAGTTGAGGGTGTTCAGGTCAGTATGCCCAATGGTGAGGTTATCACTGTGTCCCATATAGGGGATGTTAGATTAAATGACACAGTGTTACTAAGGAATGTTCTATGCATGCCTCCTTCACCTTCAATATTATTTCAGCTAGCAAGCTTATTAAACAATCTGATTGTAAATTGGTGTTCATGGCTAATTAGTGCTTAATACAGGACAATCTTGGAATGATGACTGGTTTTGCTAAAGAACAAGGGGGGCTCTACTTGCTGTTTGCACCCTCCAGTAAAGAAATCCTTGAGAATTGATAGTAGCTTTATGATGCATTGTAATGTTGTTAGTGTTAAGGTTTGGCATCAACGACTGGGACACTTTCCCTCTAATAAAATGCATTTGTTATCTGATTTGCCCAAGTTTACTGTTAAATCCTTGATATGTGATGCCTGCCACTATGCTAAACACAAGAGATCCCCTTTCCCCATGAGTACATCTACATCTAATGCATGTTTTGAGCTAATACATGTTGACATCTGGGGTCCCTTTCCTATTTGTTCTTTGCAAGGAAAGCATTATTTTTTAACTATGGTAGATGATTTTTCAAGATTTACATGGTTGCATTTGATGATAAACAAATCTGAAGTGAGGTCTTTGATCAAGAAATTTTCATAATGTTGTACAAACCCAATTTGGTGCCAACATAAAAATTATTCGAAGTGACAATGGGAATGAGTTTGATATGAGAGAATTCTATGCTGAAAAGGGGATTATATACCAGAAATCTTGTGTAAATACACCACACCAAAATGTTGCATGTGGTGGAGAGAAAACACCAGCATATTCTAAATGTGGCAAGGGCTTTGAGTTTTGAGGCTAACCTTTCCCTAGAATTTTGGGGTGTCATTCTGTCATGCATGCTACTTACCTGATTAACAGGTTGCCATCACCTATTATTGGTTAGTCAACTCCTCACATCAGATTGTATGGAAAACCACCTGATCTCAGTAATCTCAAAGTGCTAGAATGTCTATGCTATGCCTCCACTAGCCCATATTCAAGACACAAGATGGCTCCAAGGAGCAGGAAATGCATATTTGTGGGGCTACCAACAATGTCAAAGGATACATTTTATGTAGGGATGTGAAGTTTTATGGAGAATGTTTCCCTTTCAAGACTGATTCTACACCAAGAATGATGATGAGCAAATTACAGAAGCCTTCAATCCTTCTCTACCTATAATTCCAATCACTGGAGCAGATGTTGGACTTGATAAGTTGATACCAACAGCAGATACTGATTCAGTTGAAATCCCAACGCAACACCAGACAACATACATCACTTCAACTGAGAATACAACAAACATTAATATAACCGAGATTTCAGCTCAACCTGAAATAGCAGACACTAGATCATAAGGGAACACAATAGACAACGTTTCAACTGAGATTCCAATTCAACCTAGAAGATCTGTCAGAACAAGGTGTATTCCTACAAGGCTACATGATTATTATTGTTATAGTGTGATAACCAACAGAACTTCACCACACTCCTTATCCAATGTGGTCTCCTACAGTCTCTTATCCCCAGCACATAGAGTATTTGCTACAGTAGTGTCTTCCATCCCTAAACCCAAAACCTATAATCAGGCTATTAAACATGAATGTTGGAAGCAAGCCATGCGAGCTGAAATTCAAGCTCTCCAAGACAACAACACTTGGGTGCTCACTGAGTTGCCACCAGGAAAAAACCCCATAGGTTGCAAATGGGTTTACAAAGTTAAATTGAAGGCAGATGGATCAATAGAGAGGTACAAAGCAAGGTTGGTTGCCAAAGGGTATACAAAACAGCTGGGGGTTGATTACCTTGAGACACTCTCCCCTGTAGCTAGGATGACAACAATCAGGACATTCCTAGCGATTGCTATGATCAAGGGATGGCATGTTCATCATCAACTTGATATCAACAACGCTTTCCTACATGGTGATTTGGAAGAAGATGTATATATGACTTTACCCCCTGGTTTTCAAAGTGATAAGCCTAACCAGGTTTGCAAGCTAGTCAGATAATGCCAAATTAACTTCATCTTTACAGACCATTGGGTTTGTGCAGTCCAAATCCAACCCATCCCTTTTCACCAGAAATGGTGATAGTTTTATAGCAATTCTTATATATGTTGATGATAATTTGGTAGCCAGTAGTGATATGGAACCTATAGTTAATTAAATTGATGGAGTTCTTGGACAATACCTTCAGAATTAAAGACCTTGGGTCTTTGGGATATTTTCTGGGAATAGAAGTTGTTAGACATGCTGATACTTTGAATCTTTGCCAAAAGAAATACACCTTGGATATCCTCGAGGAAAATGGTTTTCTTGAATGTAAATCGATTAGCATTCCAATGGTTCCCTGACAGCAATTAACACATAATGATGATGTTCTTTTAAAGGATGTTAGTTTTTATAGAAGGCTGGTTGGGAGGTTACTCTATCTAACAACAACAAGACCTGATATAGGCTTTGCTGTGCAGCAAGTAAGCCAGTTTATTGATGCTCCCACAGAGAAGCACATGGCAGCAGCACACAGAGTTCTGCGTTATCTCAAAGCTGCTCCTGGAAAAGGGATCTCATATTCTTCAAACTCAGCTTTACAGTTACAGGTTTTCTCAGATTCAGATTGGGCAGCCTGCTATGATTCTAGGAAATCCATCACAGGATATTGTGTCTTCCTAGGAGAGTCTCTAATATCCTGGAAATTCAAAAAGCAACCTACAATATCTAGATCCTCATCATAGGCCGAATATAGGGCCTTGGCTACTACGGTTTGTGAAGTCAATTGGCTGCTATACCTTTTTTAGGACTTACAAATTCAGCTATGCAAGCCTGCCACTCTATATATTGTGACAACAAGTCAGCGGTGGCAATTGCGGAGAACCATGTATTCCATGAGAGGACAAAGCATATAGAGATAAATTGTCATATTGTGCGAGAGATGGTTAACAAAGGGGTGGTGAAGCTTTTATCAGTAACATCATCCAATCAAGTAGCAGATGGTTTCACCAAGCCTTTGCCTCATACCCAATTTTATTCCTTTGTATCTAAGCTGGGCTTACAAGACTTGTACGCTCCAACTTACGGGGGTGTTGAAGGACAAGCACGTGGCAGCTGCTAGTGTTGACAGCTCAAAGAAAGAAGTTGAATCGGAGTTAAGGGTCTTTCTTGTAATTTTGCACCTTGAATATTAGTCTGTATAAAGCTTCTTCTTCCTTGTAAAATTCATACAAAATTCCACCAACTCTACTGTAAGGACTCTCTGGAAGGCTGAATAATACAAAAATATTTCATTCCATCTCATTATGTTTTTCACCATCGTTATGCTGTAATTCAGTCTGCAACACTCCGCACCAATATTCCTTGTATGAGATAATTCAACGTCAACAAATATGGAGGTACGGTTTGAGTTTCTCACTTTCAACGTTTGAATCTTTGCATTTGGTAACATACCTTGACAATGGGATTCCAAACATACCTGCCTCCCCAATGTTTAACTAATTAGACATTTAGTTGTCCTCACCATACTTTTTTCTCCAATCCTTACAACTCCAAATCTGATAAGTTATTCCATGAGTCGTCTATATAGGACAAATTAGATGGCATGATTTCAATAAAGACCCCCCCGCCCCCACCCCACCCCAACCAGCCATGCTAAATTTGTATTATATTGGTTCGTGAGTGGTAGATTGCGGACAAAAATACATGATCTAGTCCCGACAACCGCAGTATGAGAGTGTTACACAAAATATATAAAAACTGAGCTGCAATAACACAGGAACAAGTGATATATATATAAAATCCTAGCATGTCACACGTGATTTACCCAAATTACCCCTCCACTATCCTATTAACATGGGCAGCTCAATTGATTTATTGGCAGTAGATTGTGGCCGGGTAAAGACACATGACTTTCTCTTGGCAACTGCAATATATAAAATTAAAACTCTTATATATATATATATATATATATATATATATATATATATATAATCTTACATTTATTATACTATCAAGTTACAAGATTTTTGGTAATATATATATGCATATTTACATTTGAATGAAAAAGAGAGTTGATTGACTGGGAACTATGTACAACTTCAGCTTCTTAAATCATTCCTTTCTTTCAGATGGATTTTAACCTATCCAAGCCGTATATTTCCTACAAATAAAAATGGAAGAATAAATAAAGACGAAGACCATTAGAGAGAGAGAGAGAGAGAAAAGTAATATCATCATATCAAACTGATCATCAATTGGAACACTTCATGTCTTCATCATTAAAAGGTTAACCAATATCTAAATTTTAAAATTTTGATAGGTATATTACAAGCTAACAACAATGAAATGGAATATGTATGCTATGCTTTACATTTGTAAAATATATGCGGTTAGATTTAAATTTGAGATTTCATTCTAAATAGTAATAGATCAATATTGGGGGTTGACAACATATGCCCAACATTGTTAATAATATTTTGTGCATCAATATCTACTTATTATCATTCATTTTCTTTAGTAAACCAGGTCGATCAGGTCAATAGAATGGGGCAAATTATGCCATGGATCAGGGCAAATTATGATGTGCATCCGTGGTGCACACGGATGCAAAAACGACGTCGTTTTGACTAAAAACGCGCGTTCCACTTAAAAAAATTAGTTTCGATTCCCGGCAACAACATTATGTTGTGCATAATTTGAACTATATATCCAGAACCAATGAACTAAAAATCTAGAATCAATAAACTAAAAATCCAGAATGAATGAACTAAAAATCCATAATGAATGAACTAAAAATCCATAATGAATGAACTAAACATCCAGCATGAATGAAAAAAAAAAATCAGTTTCGATTTCCGTATAAATATCCAGAATCAATGAACTAAAAATCTAGAATCAATGAACTAAAAATCCAGAATGAATGAACAACATAATGTTGTTGAGGGGAATCAAAACCGTTTTTTTTTTTTTTTTAAAGTGAGACGCGCGTTTTTAGTCAAAACGACGTCGTTTTTGCATCTGTGTGCACCATGCATGGTGCACACGGATGCCGGATGCACAGCATAATGATTCATGGATCAGGATCCCCTTGCATTGTGGACCCTAGTTCAAAATAACCTTCAAATTATGTGTCAACCGTTAAAATTTTATGTATCTGTAAATAAATTGAAGGTACATAATATGTTAATTATAGATGTATAATATGTTAACTACTAACACGTAATATGCTAACCGTAGACTCATAATATGCAATTAATATATTTTGTACATACAGTTAACATATTATGTGTCTGTAGTAACAAATTATATGTCTTCAAATTATTTACAAACACATAATTTATAGTTGAAGACGCATAATATATTAATACATAATACTTTTGGATGCAAGGTGGACCTGATCCATGGTATTACAATTGATAGAATGGCTTACCAGAAGATTGTGGATTTCTTGTAATGCAGGTTCCAATAATGAAATCAAGGCTTGCATTTCCTTCTTGAGGATGTCACTGTTTTTGTCTCTGGCCATGAGAATAGTGATCAAACTTCTAGTGTCTGGCACTAGTTTAAGTGCTACCTTCATGGAAAAGGTGAACTCAATCAATAGAGTTAGACTAAACTTAAACAAATCTACAAAACTTTATTGATTAAAAGGTCTTGTTTTATTTGGGTAAATCCCGCCTTGTGATCCTAGTTGATAAAGGATCACAAGAAGATAAACTAGGTTACTATAGCTGATCGGCTTAGATCAAGAAGACCAATAAGTCACTCTCATTGGAAGTCGAACTTGTAACATTTTGGTTACCAAGTCAACAGTCTGACTAATTTGGCTGGTTGCCCTCAAATAAATGATAATCTTCTTCCAAAAGGTTGAATCCCCAACCTCAACCCGACAAAGTGCCGAGGTTCAAACCTTGGTCTCTTCTCCTAAATACTGTCTACTGAACCATTGAGCTAAGCCCGTACGGACCTATATGCCGTATTTGAATAGAAATATCAAGAAATTAAATAATGTTGAAAGAGTTTATGATGGGATTAAATAGTGTTACTTTATATGCAGCTGAAGAAATCCATCCATGCCAAGGCTTGAGAGTGATGGTATATGACTCCTCCACTGCTCTCTCCATATTCTTCTCAAAATCCTCTACCAGTTGTTGTAACAAAGCTAAAGAGAAGTCAAGCGATCTGCAGTATAATAATTTTAATGGCATTTACATTTTAATATTAATTGAAATCATGCCATATATTTTTCCAAGATTTACTCACGTAATTAGAACTATGATTTTAAAAAAGGGTCCTTTTTTTCTTGGTTGAGTTTTTTTTTTTTTTTTTTTTTTTTTTTTTTTTTTTTTTTTTTTTTAATTACGAAAAAAAGGAACCGTGGACAAAGACAATAATTATGTAATTCAGATTCGGTTTAACTCAATAAAAGGTGTTGATTTTTTTTGTTCTATTCTATACTTTCTCAACTATTACAAATTAAAGAGTCTAGACTTCATCATCGGGGTGCGATCCTGTTACCTTCCTAGCAAAATGTTGATACTTGAGAGTTAGACCTTCTATTCCCATTAACTAATACAATACTATATATCTTGCGAGTTAGACCTTCTATTCCCATTAACTAATACAATACTATATATCTTGCCTTTTTGTGGGAGTTCATTTGTTTCTTTAGTACTGCTGCCTCTATTGCAATGTCGTATCTTTCAAAGAGTGAATGCTCTCACTGAAGTTTGAACCTATGACCTCCAATTTGGGAAACGAATAACTATGTCGCTTGACCATAAAGTCTTAAAAATTGAAAGTCTAAATATATTATGATGGTTATTTATGGGCTAGGTCCGTCATAAACTGGATAATGCAGGGGAATAATATGGCAATTTATATCCTGCACCAGGGCGCGCATTGCATTGTGAGCCCTGATGCAAAACGACGCTGTTTCAGGTTTTTTTTTTTTTTTTTTTTTTTTTTTTTTTTTTTTTTGAAATTTCGCTACCCTGTGTTGGTGGTTAATTTTCTTTAAAAAAAATCTCAGGTTCAAAAATGTACATAATTTTATACTAGAATACATAATTGTATACATGAATGTACATAATTGTATAACAAAATACACATACTTTTTTTTAAAAAAAGATAATACATATAATCTAACATAATACATAATATACATAAACGTTTAACATAATAAACATCAACTCTTAACATAATACACATAAATTTCCTGTTTCGGATGTACATAATTGTATAAAAAAGATGTACATGATTGTATAAAAAATGTACATAATTGTATAAACAAATACACATAATTGTATAAACAAATACACATAATTTATAAAAAAAAAAAAATACACATAATCGCGTCAACTCCCTACATAACTTACCAAAATGACGTCGTTTTGAGAGGCGCGGGACGCACAGTGCTATGCGCGCCGTGGTGCAGGGTATAACCATTGGAATAATATTCTCAATGTTATGGACTCACAAAATGCCTCAATTGGGTTACAAATAGGGAAATAAATATGGGAAATCAATAATTAAGTCTAGTGGCCCAAAATCCAATCCCAATTGGATAGTTGGTCTGCCAAGCCTACTTTGAAACCAGAGGTAAATTTTAGGCAATTTTCCTCCGGATCATGGTCCATGTAATAGTGTGTTTCATGAAGTAAGTATCATTTTAATTATACTTTAGTTTTATTTGACAATATTGTTCTGTTTTTCAGTTTATTTTTCACACACACTATTTAAGTTTTAGTATATTGAATATTCATTTATAATGTATTAAAAGTTTTTGTTTTGCAAGTATAAGTAAAAAATAAATCTTCAGTATACTAATAGTCTTATGCCATTTGAAGGAGAACACCTAGTGGACTTGTGGTCTAAGAATGAAGGTGATGATGTTTGAAGGAAACAAGACACTTCCCCACCCCTCCCCTATTTATATTATTTTTTTTTTAGGTTCGAAAAAAAAAACTAGATAATGAGTAAATGAGAATAACTAGCTAGTGATTCACCCACGTGTCCCCCTAAGCCACCAAACACCAACCCCCTTCCCGAACCCAAACATCACATGCGTCCCAGGCAAGAAAGTTTGTAAGCAGCCACCCGCCATTCACTTTTGCAACGTATGGCCAAGGATGTTATATCTTGCCGCACTTTGGCCCCAAACGTTTAACCATTTTTTTTCACAAAAACTTTTCACCTTGACCTACTTTGGACCCAATTCCTCTAGCATTTGCACCTCAGCTCCTTTAACTCTACTTTCCTATCCAATTTGCATCTCTAACTTTATTTCCCTTTTCAACACCTAGAACTCGTTAATATCCTATCCATACTGCTAGTAGAGTCGTCAATACTTTAACTTGTCAATACCTGAGGGTTCTCCAACTAGTTAGGGAGATAATCTCACCATATTGTACTCTTCAATGTAGGACAAGACCTCACTCAATCGTGTTGTAAGCAGTGTTAATGGAATTTGCGAGATGAACCTCACGAGGTCGGCTGGGATTAAAGGGCTTGGCCTCACAAGCCTTCCACTTCAGTCATGAGGTCGATTTGGGCCCTTTCTTGTTTTCGTTTGAGGGTTCTTTTTTGTTCTAGGTTTTTTAGTCGACCCTTCTTCCTCCCATCATTTAACTTGACGTGTCTCCTCCACCATGGCATACCTATCGACTATTGCTATCATCACCACATAGTCGGTTGGAATTTTCCTCTTGAGACTCTTGTATAGGTCTCCAACTCTTAGAGATTCTATAAACAACGTGATGACCAAATTTTCTTCAATCCCCTCTACCTCTACTACTTTCTCTTGCCACAAGTTAGGAACTCAAAGACAAATTCATCATATTTTTATCTAATTGTGGCCACAAGTATGAGAAGTGTTTCTTGGCCTTCCTCCCACGCGTGAAGTGCGTGGTGAACTTGATCACCAAGTCATGGAAAGAATCGATTAACCCTCTTGGTAACCCCATGAACCATCTCTTGGTCGATCCCTCGAGGGTTGAGAAAAGCACCCTAACCATCATTGGCCCTTAGTAACACCATCACACCACCTTGATAAACTACAATATGTTCTTGCGGGTCCCTTGCCATGTCAAACTATTCACATAAGGTGTTTCAGAGTTGGTTGGTAGGGGTTTCTTCATAATTCTCCTTGTGAAAGGTGGCATGACCTTGTGTGAATACCATGTGTAACTCACCTTTGTCCTTCCAATGCAGCAATTCTTCTAACCTTCTATCTACCTTATTTGCCCATTAACAAAGGTTTGTAGTGAGCGGTGGATGGAAAGTAGGTTGAGGATGTGGAATCCACGGTGTCATTCTCAACAGATAGAAAATTTGGAGTGGTTGACGTGTGGTTGATCACAAGAGAGTCATGAACCTACAAATAGCTAGAATAAGTGTGTGCAAGCACAACAACATTGTGTACAAAAGTAACAAGTGTGCGAGAGAAAGTAATCACAACTAGAGAGCAAACAAAAGCAAAATCACTTAGAAGAAATCAAGCAAAATGAAATGGCCTTGGATTAGCCTTTCCTGGTGCCTTAGAGTGTCCTAGGTAGAAGATACAAAATGTGTTGACCGTAATTCATGGGGGTTGTTTGCTATTGCTAATGCCATTTTGGTCTCCTTAGCCTATCATAGAGTATAATTGCACCCGAGTGTCAATGTTACTACCATGAGACATTTCTGCATAAATCCCATTCTGAGCTTTCTCTTCTTAGAGCAAAGGTGGGGAATGCAAGTGAATTTAATTAGGCAATTATATAGTCCCAATCCCTGGGCAACTATACTAATTCTTAGGTTTTCCATGAAGTTGGGCCCTAAGCCCATGGAAGGCAACACAAAACTCCACTTCTATCAAGAATCCAAACAATCAACATAAAATATATCTCCTAATTGCAATTATAATCACATGACTAGCACCGTACAAGAGAAATGTTAATCCAATTCCCTAAGAATGGCTAGCCGCACATGTTCTGAATTGAAATACAATCACAATTGAGCCAATAAATGGAGATGGATAATGAATTAAAAGAGAAGAAATGTAGAAATTTACTTAGCTCAAGAGTAATTGCAATCAATCCAACAAGATTCTCCAAACATGCAAGAAGAAGGTCCAAGGTCAAGGAAGAGTTGTAAATTCTCCTTGGAACCCTAGAACTACTTTTTCTCTCTACAATTGGAGAGTTTTTTAGAGCTGTCTCTAGAAGTGAAAATGAAAACTAAAGTCTAATGTACAAAGTCAACTCCTATAATCCCTTAAATACATCGTGCTCCGGATGCACGACACGATTCACGATCGTGGATCTTCGCGTACATCACTTCCAGGAAATGGATCCTTAAGTCACGCTTGTGGATCTTGTCGTATATCTTTTTGGAATTCTACCAACATCAGGATCCACGATCGTGGATCTTAGTGTACATCTTTCTAGAATTCTACTAGCCTCCGGATCCACGTTCGTGATCTCAGTAGTACATCCTGCTCCTGTAGGACTTATTCCAATTAAGCCTCAAATCTTGTCTAAATGCTTGCAATTAAGCCCGAAGTCCTTCAAAACATTAAATTGCACTCACCATTCATCCATGTGCCTCAATTATATCATTTTGCATCAATTATCATCTCAATCAAGCACAAAACACCTTAATTAATCACCAAAGAACTCCAATTTGACCCCTAGAAAGATACATTTTTTTGCACTTATCACCCATTTCTATGGGACTATGGCTCAAGTCCTTTTTTTTTTTTTTTTTTTTTTTTGACCCATCAGCCCTCGCTGAACAGGGCTTAGTGAATACTTTCATCCATTACATGAGCAGGCTCTAGCTCATTCTTAGGCTCATTTGGCCTACTCACACTTGTTCGAATGGTCCAAATCTTTTCTTCACTAGCCTCCTTTCATCTTAGGGCATACTCAATCTCTTAAGAGGTGGGCTTGCTCTAGCACCGGGACCTGTGGTCATTTGCTACACCTAGCTAGGTGATGCTCCCATTGTTGATGTAACATCTAAATGCCTATGAAATCGATCAATGACAGGATACTAGGTTTGGTCCCCTGGGGGACTCAGGTTGGTTCTCACTATCCAAGCATCGCCCCGAATTGCGAGGGTACTAGTTTGTTCCCTTCAATCTTACTGTAGAGATTTGAATTCTAGGAGTGAGAATGTCCCCTCCCTTGTTGACTAAGTAGTTCTTATAAATCTTTAGACTGTTGACTATATGATCCCCATCATGTTCATGCTAGAATGAAAGCAGTTGCATTGGGTTGAGAAAACAAGTGTTTGAGTTTAATTTGCTAAATTTAATAACATGGACTTTTGGTAGCAGTTTCCATAAAAGGTGCTAATTAATGATACTTTTAAATGAACCATATGCACTATAAACTAGATATAGTCGGGGAATAATATTCGGGGACGGGGCGGGGCGGGGCGGGGATGGGGATTCACACATATTCCCCGTCCCCGTCCCCGTCCCCATTCCCCGAAAATTTTCCCCATCCCCGTCTTTGTCGGGGCGGGGATCGGGGATCCCCACCGGGGGCGGGGCACATTGCCATCCCTATTCTAATTCTTAGTCCAATTTGAATCCCTAACTTTCTTCTTTTCCTATCTAGACCTGATAAAACCACTACTAGAAATTATGCAATTTCCGACCACCTGAAAGTGATCTTAAATCAAGTTGAAATCAAAAAGTGGTCGGAAATAGCAACAAAGGTTTTTCCAGATACCAAAAGTGGTCGGAACAAAACTTTCGACTTGATTTAAGATTACTTTCAGATAGTCGGAAATTTCAAAATTTCCAGTAGTGAACCTTGCTCATGAGTTCCGATAATTTCCTAGATCCAATTAATTCTCACATCTCCATTTCCTACCCCAATTGACCTTGGGCTCAAACTTCATTTCTCTATCAATTATGTTTCTAGTGGTATTACATACAACATATCTAAACATTTTGTTATAGTAGTTTTAATTGAAAAAAAACTAAAAAAGAGAAGATAGAGAGATTACCTGGTCAACCAAACAAAGGCTTTACTACAGCTGGAACCCTTTTTAGCAATTCCTTCGGTTGCCTCTTTCTTCAATAATTCCACCATGTTTGAATAGACCGAAGGATCAGAGTCATGCAACTTCTCTAATATCTAGAAGTGATTTCAAGATATAATAATTGAAGTATACATATTTTGAAACACATACATTTCATGTGGATACAATTAATTAGTTTGAAGAAAATAAAAACTCATTAACTCCAACAAGAATAATAGTATATACTCATTCTGTCTCAATTTTTATGTCTAATACCATAAAATGAGTTTGATTTCAACTATTTATAATTCAATCTTTTGTAATATATAAATTTGTATTAGTAAATGAAATATATAAATTTAGAAACTAATTTAAAAATTTTTGTTAAATACAAAAAATTAAAATTAAAATTAAAAATCACAGAAAATATGTGAACAAAGAAATTTAATATGACTAATAAAAATTTAAAATAATAATAATAATGTTATAAATATTTGTAATAAGATTTTGATGAGTCAAAATGTATTTTTGTTGAAAAATTAAAATCTACAATTTTTTTTTTTTTTAAAATGTATTAGTGTCTAAGGGATTTTTTTTTTTTTTTTTTTTTAATTTGATATGGGAAACATCGCCTAAGTTAGAGAGAAGAAGATGGAGAAAAGTTGTAAATGAAGTAAAGAATGGAGCAGGATTATTTCATTGAGCGGAAAAAGGAGTAGAAATTGGAGTCTGAGCTAAATAAGAATCGGAGAAAAGGTCAAAATTGTAATTTAAGGAGGAAAATGTGAAAATTTAAAGAATAAAATCATTTTTGGTGAAACGATTGGAACACAAATTAAATTTATTTGAAGAGAGGAAAAAATTGGCGTATAAATGGTGAGCATTAATTTTAAGATTAATTGAAGCAAAGGAAGTAGTAAAAGGCCAAGTAGTAAAGTTGGTAGAATTGAAGACTTGTTAGCAAGGGAGGTGATATCAAAGGTACAACGTTCGGATTCTATTGGTGAAAATACTAGTAGTGGAAATGACATTATGGATGCTAGAAGTAAAGGTAGCGCAGCATTGGCTACTAGAGCCAAATGTGAAAATGATACAAAGTCAATAAAGCATGAATACACAAATCAAGTTGTAAGGAGAAGATCAAGTCGAAATAGAAGATCAATTTATCAACTTATCAGATCAGGCTACTACTTTCAAAAATTCAAAAATCAAATTATCTTACTTCAACAGATACATGAAAACGGGGCAATAGAACATATCAAGCAATACTTACAATGAGAGCAATTGTGCAAAACTCTTCATATAAATATCTAGAAAAAGAGACTAATCTTCCTAAAAGCCTAGAAAAAGAGACTAATCTTCCTAAAAGTCTCTAAGAGTTGGAATTATCTTTTCTTGTTAAAATCTCTACTGGGTGTAGATAGATGGCAGAGTAACAAGAGGACCTTGTGAAAATCCTGTGGAGTGTAGGCTTGGTGCATAAGCACTCGTGTTGTAGAAGTGTTGAGTTGGTGAACTAGCACTTGGTTGTTCACTATTATATCTGGGTGATTGATATTGTGAATTCTTCTTAGAGATAGGAGTATAGTGGACGTAGGCTGGGTTTGGCCGAACCACTTAAAAATTCTCTCTCATTTACTTACGGCTCTCACGTACACTTTGCATTGCATGTATAATCTCCGCTCTCACAAACAACTTAGATACATTTCTACTGTATTGCATGCACTTACTACTTATCTAACACTTCAATTTTTATTAAAGCACTTTACATACATTTATTCCGTTGTGCACTCTAAGTTAGATTTATTCAAGCAAATTAAAAATTAGAACACTTTAATGTAATATCTAAGTTGGAATAATTAAAAATTTATTCCGTTGTGTGAGGCCGTTTCACGGATCCTAATCTGTGAGACAGGTTGGATCAAGATAAAATGTATTACTTATATGAAAAAATGTAATACTTATGAAGGAAAATGTAATACTTTTACATTTTGATCTAAGGGGGCGTTTGGTTCAAGGAATCTTGGATTACCCCAGGTAATATGATTACCTCCAGGAAGGTAATGTGAGATTTTTGGAATGTAAAATTACCTTATGTTTTTTGTTTGGATTGTGGAATATAATATTACCTTGTTTGGTTAAGGGTTATATTTTAGGTTATATGGATCAATTTACAATAATGTCCTCAATAATATATATAGGGAATGGTTCATGTGCGGTAAAAGCTTCCCGTGTGATTTTGCGGTTGACGGCTCAAATCAATGAAAATTATAAAAATAAAATAAAAACGTGTGTTTGGATGAAAGGAGCTAAAAATGGCGCACATTAAGTGATAGAAACACGCACCTTAAGTATTAGAACAACGCACATTAAGTGTTATAACAACGCACCTTAAGTGTTAAAATGATGCACATTAAGTTTTGTTCTTGAGGGTCTGAACCACCTCTCAGTTCAAAAGTTTTGTTCTTCTTGAGGGTCTGAACCACCCCTCAGTTCAAAAGTTTTGTTCTTCTTGAGGGTCTGAACTACCGTGACTCACAGAGAATGGTGCGCGAAGAAGAAACATGACACATCTTAAGTATTAGAACAACGCAACTTAAATGTTATAACAACGCACCTTAAGTGTTAAAATGACGCACATTAAACTTTGTTCAAAAGTTTTGTTCTTGAGGGTATGAACCACCCCTCAGTTCAAAAGTTTTGTTCTTCTTGAGGGTCTTAACCACCCCTCAGTTCAAAAGTTTTGTTCTTCTTGAGGGTCTGAACTACCTGTGACTCACAGAGAATGGTGCGCGAAGAAGAAACATGATGCACCTTAAGCACAAACCCACGCACCATAAGCATAAAACCTACGCACCTTAAAGACAAAACTCACGCAACTTAAGTTTCAACAACTACTCACATTAAGCACAAACACACGCACCTTAAGCACAAAACTCACACAGCTTAATTAAGCACAAAACTCACGCACCTTAAATTTGACCTAGTTGCAAAAATTACCAAATTATCATTGCATTTTTTTTTTTTAATTTTGGTAATCCTGAACGTTGATTTAAACAAAATCAATGGTTCTTCTCTCCCCGCACAACCACACATAGGGCTGCCACCCGCACCAGAACCTAATTCTAGATGTGTGTGTGTATTTATTTTACTTATTTATATGTATGAATATATATTAATACTTAAATATATATAAAAAAAAAAAAACTAAATATACACACACGTATATTTGATTGTATAAATATATATTTATTTTATCATCATCATTATTATTATTATTATTATTATTATTTTATAAGGATTAGTTAACAAGGACAAAGTTGGAATAATTTAAGGTAATCTAAAATTACCTAAGAAAATGAGAGTAATCACATTACCTTGAAACATTACCGCCACATAAGCTTTCAGGTAATATAACATTATATTACCAGATAATCTCATAACTTGAACCAAACAAGGTAGTATAACATTACCAGATTACCTAGGTAATATAAGATGACCTGAACCAAACGCCCCCTAAAAGTATTACATTTTTCATCAAAAGAATTACATTTTCCTTTATAAGTAACAAACACTTGCCAACATTACTTATAAAGGAAAATATAATACTTTTGATAAAAAAAAAAAAGTAATACTTTTACATCAAAATATAAAAGTATTACGTTTTTCTTTATAAGTAACAAACACTTTATTCCTAATTAGTATTACATTTTTCAATATAAATATTACATTTTCATATTGACCCGACTCGTTTCACATATAAGAATCCGTAAGACAGTATCACATAAGTGTGACCCAAATAGTCATTAATGTCTTTGTATTGAACTAAAGCATCTAGATTAGATTGAGTCTGTTATCTATCATTAATTTTATTAAATACAGTAGCAAGGATGATAAACTATCATTAAGTTGAAACAGTGGATTGGTTAAGATGATAAATACCTGTAGTGTAATATGGGACCAATCAATTGTGACAAAAGATGTCACTTCATAATATAGGAAATTAATCCTTAAATTGGCATTACAAATACACATAAGTCCAAATAGCTGGCCCCAGGGAGAAGCGTGTGCTTTACACACATCTAATGAAAATGATTTGCGTGTGTTCAAATTTTAATTAAATTTATTTGTGGTATTATTGTTTAGTTTATGAAAATATGTGGTATTTATTACAAATCTAAAAACATAATAAGTGTGGATGAAGGTTATACTCTTTATTTATGTCCATTTTTTTCGGTTAAGTTTTTTAAACATTATGTTTTAAAAGTTGTACTTTACAATATTTTGGACAAACATACCCCTACCGTAACAACTTCTGTTATCTTTTCCACTATTATTATCAAGCACATGCATCCATTATATATTTTCTTATATTCTTCAATAATAATAATAATAATAATAATAATAATAATAATAATAATAATAATAATAACAACAACAACAACAACAATAATAATAATAATATACACATTATATATTAGAGTTATATGCTAGTTATTTTATAAAATATAAATATCAAATTTATAAAAATATTTTACATCATTATTATTATTATTATTATTATTATTATTATTATTATTATTATTTACAATAATTTAAATGTATAAAATCTAAATAAATTTAAAAATTTAATATAAAGTACTAATATTGGACACCTATTTTGTGCGCATCGTGCATAAAAAATACTAGTTATATTGATAAGTGTACATTTTGAATGTAAACGAACCAAGAGTGCAAATAACATGATTTGAATAGAAACAAATATCAATGTTAGCACCCATATTTGGAGTATTGAATTACAATTTATAAAATGAATTAAATTTAATAAATCATAAATAATCAACTTCTTCCCTCCTAATTTGTATTTTTAGAAAATTAAAAGAAAAAAAAATAGTTTACCTGGATATTTTGATGGATATCCTGTCTCAAAACAGTCATTGATGACCCTATCTTATCTGCTCCAAAAGCAAAAGAAAAAAGAGACAGAGATAGAGACTTAAATTAATGAATTCTCTATTCAATTAAAGCAAGCAGAGGCAGACTTCAAGCATCAATGCAACTGGTTAAAATTGTGTATTTTTATGTTAAAAAAGAAAATAAATTGTTTTCTTTTATTCACTCAATATATATGGCTAAAATATTCATACTTTCTATTTTTGATACTGAATAACTTGGACATATATATATACATACAAACAGACACGTACACCCCTCATCAGTAAAAAAGGACTAACAATGCCACCTCGCAGGGGCTTAACTCAATGGTTCAAAAGGCAGTATTTGAGAGAAGAAACTAAGCTAGGTTTGAAACATTACAGTAGCAGTGTGAGGATTTTGCCCAAAATAGACAGATTTGTTGTGCACATGGACATTTGACACCTGTCTACCGAACTATTGAGTTATCGTGATTTATATCCTCTCACATGCTCTGCCGGATTGGGATATGGTGTTGAAGACAATAAAAGTCTTGGAGACACACTTCAAATAAGAGAAGATCCAATTTAAATGTGGAAGGCCAATTTTGTGAAGGAATGTGCCAGGCTGGTTGGGAAGTCAAAAAATCAATTAGTTCCCCTAAAATAAGTAGGAAAAATCAGAAAATGGGGTCAAAATTCATATTTTCTCATGTTTACATGATTATTTCTTAGGATAAATACATAGAAATAAGAGCTCATAATGTTTATAGATATAGGATAGAAGAGTTTTGGTAGGTTCAATATTATTCAAAATATTTCAAATATACTAATATAAAAAACTAATCATATTTATCAAAATTTCAATGTTAACAAACACGTACATCAATTGAACAAAAAAATGGAAAACAAAGCATGACTTGTGCTGTGGATTTCTAGACCCTGAGTCCAATATCAAGTCCGGAAACCCACAACACGTGAAACCCTTTGAATTGGGGATTCAACCTATTAGGAGAATTAAAAAAAAAAAAAAAGGACTAACCAAGAACATGAAGAAGCAAGTTGCGGCAGACGCAGAGAAAAGGCTTGGTGGCAATATGTGCAGTAGTGCTATGATCATCAGCTTTGAATTTGAGCACCCCCATGGATAGCGCTTCTATGGCACAGCTCATTTCTGATCCCTCCTTCTTCTCCTTCTCCATCTCCTCCACCCTTTTCCTCTTCATTTTAACTCCCTCAGCTCTGATCTCTTTTTATCTACTCCTTCTTGCTGTCTCTATATATATGTGTTTGTAGATATATATATATTATTATAAAATTGTAGGGAATTGAAGTCAATGTTATGCAACAACAGACCGAATATATACACTGATAATTATATGGCTGCTGCCTTTTGTTTAGTTAGACGTTCTAGATCTATTTCATTTTATATACCAAATTTTAATATGAGGTTCTTTTTATAATTTCATACATACTAAAAATAAAAAATTATATTAATATAAATAATTTTATAATTTTAAGGAGTTTTGCTAAACAAGTGACAGTTGCTTAGTGCATCTTTATACCTCTCTTTATCAAGTAGTAACATTTTTACGTGTCATATAATAATAATAATAATAATAATAATAATAATAATAATAATAATAATAATAATAATAATAATAATAATAATAATAATAATAATAATAATAATAATAATAATAATAATAGATTTTCAAAAAAAAAAAAATAATAATAATAATAATAATAATTTTCTTTTATTGTGTTTTAATAATATTTTTAATACATTGGTGTGATGTTAATATATAAATTCAAAAGATTTTTTTCCAAAGGAAATTTATTCATAAGAAAAAATAAAAGAATTTTGCATTGATATTACACATTTTTGTTGCACTATATATGCAATTCGATATTAAACCTAGAGTTGGAGGATTGTTGGATCAAAGGAGAGAGTCATACATAGAGCCGTCAAAATGGGTTTAGCCCGTCGGGCTAGCCTGTTCCGCCTCGTCAAAAGGGCGGGCGGACTAGCTCGATTTTTATAGGCCTGTATTAGAGCGGGCTTTTTAACATGCCCCTGCCTAACCCACGGGCTAGGCGGGCGGGATGGGATGGCGGGCTAGCCCGCGAGCTTGCCTATTTTTTTAAAAATGAATAAAGACTAGAGACATATATAGTTACTGTAACACCCCTAAATTTTGAGATATTTAAAACTTATAAAATAAAGGTGAAACTATCAATTAAATCCTAAACAGAGCATAAAGCTATCCATAAGTGTCGGGGTGCTATGTCACACCTAGGTTTGAGAACCTAGGTGCACAGGCTAACTAACCAAGCATAATGAATCCTCAAATTAATATTCAAATACAATCCCAAGGCACACAGGCTAACTATTGTGCTAAGGTTATTTAAGCTAAGTCCAAGGCCCTGACTAGCGCGCTCCAAAGCTAATGCTCATCACCTGAAAAATATTCGATATAGCAACCGTCAGCGAATAATGCTAGTAACCTATTCCAACGCGTTAAGTACAATATATGTAGATATAAGAAACTCATTTTGAAACTGGAATACATATATACTTACGAGACTCTAGTTTAAATCCAAGATCAAGACTCAATGCACATTAACAGACTCAACAGTATAGAATAATCATAAAGACTAACATGCATCCTAAGAACGCAATATAAGACATAACATGCAGATAAGCATATAAATAGCAGTTAGAGGCAACGAAGGCATTCAAGACAATCAATTAGCAAGTAGTCATCAAATCACACAATTCATCCTCCAACCTTATACCAAGTTTCAACCTTGTAGCTCCCCTCCGTCCTTATATCAGTTATAACATATACCTCCAGGCCACCCTTATATCACCACCCCTTATGCCTCCAGGCAACTACATGCCCCCACCGACAAACCGCCTATTAACCACCAACATATCAAGGCTCTAACACGACAGCGCAGCACTTATAACCTGACCCATGCTCAACGGCAAGCAAGTCTAAGGTGGGTGTGTGCCTTCAGCATAGTCACCGCTATGGCCTGTAGGTTTAGTACAATGACCGGGCACAAGTGGTGTCAATCTCCAACAATTCATTACCACCAATCACAATCTCATCATCATCATCATCAGTCACACCGGCCATTGCGCAATGACCACGATACTCACCATCATTCAATCAATCAACACATAACAATCAAGACACAACAACAACGACATGTATCACACATGAATTCCTAGAACGATGCCTAAAACACCAAATGAGACTCATACACGACAAACGAGGTACAACGGGACATATTTTGTACACATTCAAATAATGAATGTTACGTATAAAAATATTGTATTTTATACATAAAAATAATATACCCCTCATGAGTACCACACTAGTATTTATACTCAAGAGCCTCATAACCGTCCCCTAAAAAGGAAGGGTTAGTTGCAACTATTTGAACCGCGCCTAGTCTCGTGGCGGGACCTCTGCCTCGCACTGAGGCCCCAGTCGAGGCCCAGACCGAACGCAGCCTAGGACCTAAGCCGAGGCCCAGGTTAGCTCAGCCTAGACAGCCTGGTCAAGCACGGGGCCTCTTATAAATACGTATAAGAGGACTAGCACCTTGCCCGCTGACGAGGTCGAGGCCAAGCTCGTGAAGAGACGGGCCCCCACCTACTTGGTTCTCGACAACATACTCTACAAGAGGTCCTACAATGGCACTCTGCGGCAATGTCTGTATTCTGAGGAAGCAAGATCGGTCATTAAGGAGATACACGAAAACACCAATGATGAATTTAATTATCGGGTTTGTTAATTTAGATCACCTAGGTTAATTAAATCCATCACCTATACATAAAAAATAATCTATGTATCATACACATAGAAATAATGTACGTAATGAAAGGTCCACACATCACCTAATAAACATTGAAATTTGTGATACCTATGCAAATACGGCCCAATCATAGGACAATTGTGTGAGCCACGGCTCACACAATAATTTACCGTTATACATCAGCCAACCAATAAATGTTTTACGTTGTTTCCTTAAATTTGGAAGATAATCTCAACCGTCTAATAATATTGTCACACCCATTTGATAGTTGATACATATGAATTCTCATAACACAAAGGAATCTATGCTATTTATTTATTATTATTTTCTTAAAAAGTAATTAAAAATGTATTAGAGTATTATTTAACTATTCATTTTATTGTGTTGATTTTTAATTATTGTAATTGGAATATTCCAATACTTATATAATTAAAGGGTAGTTGAGTAATTGTTATACATAAGCGATTTCACTAATCTATATACTTATTTTACAAATTATATATATATATATATATATATATATATATATATATATATATATATATATATATATATATATATATATATATAGGCTTCAAGTGAGACCCCTTTGTTAGATTGGAACTTAAGAACTAATCTAAACCATTAAAATTTACACAATCAACGATCTATATAAAGTAGTCATTATTATGAAGAGCTTCAACATAATTAATTAAAAATGATAATACTGTAATTTTGCCTAGGCTCTAATAATAAACTAATATTATATTTGAATTGATTTCAAGATTTTAAGATGAGAAGATAAGGAAGGAGTTCAATTGGTCTGGGAGTCTGCAATCGGCTACTCTGTCCAATGTCTATTGCCCCCCAGCGATCGTGAAATTCTAGTGGTCGTGCGCATTTGGAAACTGTCGACAATACGCGTGTGCTGCTGTAGGATGGCTAGTGAAGACCACGTAGGTAAGATTAATATTTCACTTGCCATGTCTGTGCGTTTTTCAATTTGGGATTCATTTAGATTCATCCATGCATAGTGCTAGGTTAAGGCCTGCAATTACATGAATTGTTCATTATTACACTGCTGCGCGCGATCCCATAATTGCATGAGTTTAGATATTTTGTGTGCACACACCTGTGTTGGTAGATGTGTTGAACACAGACTAATTATGCTTAGAATGCACGCACCACGCCGCTGATGTGCACAACTTGTACTGGTTAGCCTAGGTTGTGTGCACACGCAACCCAGGGTAAGTGCACATAACAAATAATTTTATAACGCTCCACAGGTCATGACGGCTCATCAGGGAGTTCAGCCGGGTGTTTGATGAATATTTCACCAGGTTCAACGAAGTATTGGACTCCAGAGTGTGAAGAGTCAATTAAGTCTTTGGTTGTGCAACGGTTCTCATGTTATAAAACATGGCAGTGTGCACCTGGGGTAAACTGAGCGTGCCATAATGTATGACTTTGTTGTGTGCACATTCAGAGTGCATTAAGTGCACGAGGGAAAGAATGACATTGGCGTGATCACTTAGTTATTAGTGTGTGTGTATAATCATATGACATCTGAGTAAGCGATTAGACCAAAAACCTACAAGACCAAATGACCACATAACTACAACTTAAGGGGGAAAATTTGTAAGAATAATTGGTAAACAGCTGTATGTGCATTGTCGTCAAACTTTGTGTGCATATACAGCGTGCGCAGTGTGCATGTGTAAACTTAAATGAACCCCTCATGTGCACATAGGTAAAAACTATCATGAAATCGAGGTTACTACATATCAAACCAAATACTGATAAATTACTTATCAACTAGCTACAAATAATCACATGTACTTAGCTTTGTTCTACGACATCACGATATTGAATTGTAGTTTGAATAAATGATATAGTATAGGGCAGTGTGCACCTAGGGTAAACTGAGCGTGTCATAATGTATGATTTGGTCGTGTGCACATACAAAGTGCATTGAGTGCACGAGGGTTAGAATGACATTAGCGTGAGCACTTAGTTATCAGTGTGTGTGCATATGTGCATGCATAATCATATGACATCTGAGTAAGTAATTAGACCAAAAACATACATGACGTTCAGAGTGAGAGCGTCTTGAAATGGGAATCCGGATTTGCTGTGCACCTATGTTAGTAGATTAGGGTGTGCAATTGGGTTAAACTGTGTGCACTTAGGGTACACTGTGTGTGCCATGATTGATGCATTGACTAAGTTAGTGTGCACATGGGCTACACCATGCATGTGTGCCATAATGTGAAGAATTAGTGTGTCCATGAATAGACGTGCAATTAGGTTGATCTGTGTGTGCCATGACGCTAAAAAAATGCTAATAGTTTGAATTCACGGAAACCAGGGTGATGTTATACACATCTGTGAAAATTGTCTATGCCATAGCGTCCATAATGGTGTGTGGCTGAGAAGACAAAACTCAAATAGGTGTGCACCTTGTGTGCCATAATGTGTACAATTAGTATGTCTTGATTACAGTATGGGTTTTCAAAATAAAAAAGACCAGATGGAGCATAAAACTCCCTTGGATAAAATCTCAATCATGATAAACATAAAACATGAAAGTACATAAA